GTATACTGATGAGTCACGTTTCTTGAAGGTGATGCTTAAAGTAAAACAGACTATTAACAATAAGTATATACTGGTTTAAAGCACTCATCTATTGTTTGTTGTATACTGACGAGTCACGTTTCTTTAAGGTGACGCTGAAAGTAAGAACAGACCATTAACCATAACTTTACTTGTCTTAAATACTCATGTATTGTTTGTTGTCTACTGATGAGTCACGTTTCTTTAAGGTGATGCTGACAGTAAAAACAAACTATTAACCATAACTATATACTGGTCTAAAGCACTCATATGTTGTGTCTTCTCTGCTGATGAGTCACGTCTTTTAAAAGTGATGCTGAAAGTAAAAACAGACCATCAACCATAACTATACTAGTCTAAAGCACTCATCTATTGTTTGTTGTGTACTGATGAGTCACGTTTCTTTAAAGTGATGCTGAAAGTAAAATGAGACCATGTACCATAACTATACAAGTCTAAAGCACTCATCTATTGTTTGTTGTATTCCTGACGGGTCACGTTTCTTTAAGGTGACGCTGAAAGTAAAAACAGACCATTAACCATAACTATACTAGTCTAAAGCACTCATCTATTGTTTGTTGTATACTGATGAGTCACGTTTCTTTAAGGTGATGCTTAAAGTAAAAACAGACTATTAACAATAAGTATATACTGGTTTAAAGCACTCATCTATTGTTTGTTGTATACTGACGAGTCACGTTTCTTTAAGGTGACGCTGAAAGTAAAAACAGACCATTAACCATAACTTTACTTGTCTAAAGCACTCATATGTTGTGTCTTCTCTGCTGATGAGTCACGTCTTTTAAAAGCGATGCTGAAAGTAAAAACAGACTCTTAACCATAACTATACTAGTCTAAAGCACTCATCTATTGTTTGTTTTCTACTGATGATTCACGTTTCTTTAAGGTGATAGTATAGTTATGGTTAATGGTCTGTTTTTACTTTCAGCAGTCTAAAGCACTCATCTATTGTTTCGTGTCTACTGATGAGTCACGTTTCTTTAAGGTTATACTTAAAGTAAAAACATACTGTTAACCATAACTATACTAGTCTAAAGCACTCATCTATTGTTTGTTTTCTACTGATGATTCACGTTTCTTTAAGGTGATGCTGAGAGTAAAAACAGACCATGTACCATAACTATACAAGTCTAAAGCACTCATCTATTATTTGTTGTCTACTGATGAGTCACGTTTCTTTAAGGTGATGCTGAAAGTAAAAACAGACCATCAACCACAATTATACTAGTGTAAAGCACTCATCTATTGTTTGTTGTATACTGATGAGTCAAGTTTCTTTAAGGTGATGCTGAAAGTAAAATAAACCATGTACCATAACTATACAAGTCTCAAGAACTCATCTATTTTTTGTTGTATACTGACGAGTCACGTTTCTTTAAGGTTACGCTGAAAGTAAAAACAGACTGTTAACCATAACTATACATGTTTAAAGCACTCATCTATAGTTTGTTGTATACTGATGAGTCACGTTTCCTTAAGGTGATGCTGAGTACAACAAACAATAGATGAGTACTTTAGTCTAATATAGTTATGGTTAATGGTCTGTTTTTACTTTCAGCGTCACCTAAAAGAAACGTGACTCATCAGTAGACAACAAATAATAGATGAGTACTTTAGACTAGTATAGTTAAGGTTAAGAGTCTGTTTTTACTTTCAACATCACCTTAAACAAACGTGACTCATCAGTATACAACAAAATATAGATGAGTGCTTTAAACTAGTATAGTTATCGTTAATAGCCTATATTTACTTTAAGTATCACCTTAAAGAAACGTGACTCATCAATAGACAACAAACAATGGATGAGTGCTTAAGACTAGTATAGTTATAGTTAAGAGTCTGTTTTTACTTACTGATGATTCACGTTTCTTTAAGGAGATGCT